AATATACACTTGGGTGTGAAACTGAAGACATACATTTTCAAAAGGGCAGTTCCATGGAATAGACAGCCATAAAACACAATGACACAAAATATGGTATCATTTCCAACCTTATAATCTGAAGTTCAAAGAATTGTTTATTCATTAGTCTTGCGGGAATACAATTCCTTTTATAATTAATCCATCCTACAATTTTACAATATTGGTGCTGGTGTTGGGTTTTTCACCTTTTAGTTTCGAAAAAATTTAGAAAAATTGTGGGCTCAGCAGACCTTTTGCAGGTCTCTCAGAAAAAAAAAGAAACCAGATTATTTGTGAGATTTGAATACTAGAACGCAATCATGGGTCACCATGTACGTGTACATTTATCAATGAGTGCATCACAAAGCTATACCTTTACACAATGGTCCACATTTCCATTTGAAATCTCACATTTTTAGTGAGTTGGATTTTTTATTTCTGACCCTGCTACTCCAAGCCGGTGGCCCTCTGAACCCCTCCATGTTGTCCATTGTCTCCTTTGCCTATAAAGTTGGCACACAGCAAAAAATCTTTCAAGTATATACAGTCGGCCCCCTGTGTTGTAATATACATGTACTTTGCCCGTAAACTGCTTCCTTAACATATTTAAGTGTGGAAACCTCAAGCGTGAAGCAAAACTCAAAAAGTGTGGCCTCTCACATCTTTCTGATGGAGTTCTAACGGGTGAAATTGTTGTTATTCAGAAATGTGCTCTTTGTAAGAGAAAACTGAACACATTTATAATCTATAAGGGCCAGAAGTGGCAACTGTACTGTGTATAAAGTTGTACAATATCTGCACACTTGTTTGAACAGGTAGGCAGAATTGCTATATTTTTACGGAAAAGGGCTTTACGTGAATGTGGCTGATGGGATCCTGGCACATTTCTAGCACGACAGTAACCATGATACATGTGTAGCTCTTTTTAAATTTTGAAAAAAATGCAATTTGTAAATGGAGGTGTCAATATAGGTGAAAATCTTGCACGTACATGTACACGTAGATATTAGAAGTACATGTATGTAATGTTTATACAGATGGGCTTATTTAGGAACAGCCATCTCCCAAATCTTTGTTGCTGTTCCATGTAATGAAACATCAAAGCCATTACGATGTTCTCTTAGAAAATTACATTACGTGTACCGGTACATCTACATGTATCTTTAAACTTTCTACTGAGTAAAGGAAAGGAAAGCACAGAAAAGCTAAATGTTTGTAGATTATTCTTACAAAATTTCAGTTTTGTGATCTGTGTTTAAAGAGGTGAAATGTACTAGGATGGTAAATGGTTCGTTTACATGTGTCATACTGTCCCCATTGCAGTGTACACAAACACTACTGTTGAACTCACTTCCAAAAATTCTATTACCACAGATACATGTAGACAGATTAGCACAATATACCCCCTTCCCAACTCTGCCCTGTCCTATTTATTAGCAGTTTACATTCACAGCACTCCCATCTGTCGTATCTGGTTGATCTACCAAATCTACCATCTATCAGCTTTGCCATGTAAGGGTTTCGACTCATACAATAGAACCTGCCTGTATATCAGACGTGCCGTTATTAGCAGCAATTGGTAACCAGCCATTTAATAATGCTGGCCCCAAGCTATGGTGCGTAATGTAATTATGGGAAGCTGATGCTGCTCTCTGGTTGCGGGAGCAAAGCCAGCATTATCCTCCCCTCCCCTCCTCCCCCGAGGGGGTGGGGCAGGGCACCACAGTATTCGCTCTTAACAAGAAGGGATTGGGAGTGAAGAAAAATGAGGTGCGTGATAGACATTGATTGTGTTAGAAACTCAATTTGTGCCGAGATCTGTGTTATAATATTGCAGGGTTTGCACAACTGTTGGCTTCTTGACATTTGCCCTTACGTTTACCGCATGTTCACGGTTGCTTTTTGGTGCGCTACCCTCTAAATATCAAGATATTATTCGTGCAGCAATGAAAAACCAATCAGCTATTTTGATCTTGATCAGTGAAATTAACAGTGCCATCGATAACTGAATGGAGTTATTCCCCGCATTCCCATTAAAAGCAAACAGGTGTATAACATGACTGATTTTACCGTAATAAATTCTCCCTTTGATGTTTCAGGCACTCGCTCTACGGGGCTGTCCGTATCTCGTTAAACGGAATGTCCTGAGGGCACCACATATCGCTGACGCTGGAAGCACGAAAGGTCTTCGTGAGTCTGCACAGCCGGAAGAAACAGGAACTGATGCAGCACCAAGGAATAGAGAGGAGGAAGAAGATTGTCCAGAGGATGGTGATGAGGATGTGGTAAGAAATGGTAAGTTTTGGAGTAAGATACATGTTTATGTACCTTCCTTCAAATCTTACCATTTTTCCATTAACATTAATTTTCAGTGCAATTTTTTAACCTGTAGCATTTTATTTTATAGTACATGTATCAAATTTTTTTCGGCTTTCAAAACCTTTTTGAAAGGAGATAGCAACATGCATGCACATTTGCACTGCTTTGAATTTGGCGGTCAGGTATTTGGGGTAAATTAGTAAGTTGAATTATACTTCCTTTCACTTCATCACTCCTGTTAAAAATAATTCCATATCCATTAATGAGAGGATAACAATCAACACTTTGAGTGGCAAAGGTTTGTGCCTGGTATAAAATACTAAAGATTCAAAAAGTGACATTTATGACGGGGAAAAAGGAGAAGAGTGTGTTGGGAATTTAATGCAATACACCACATGCTGGTCAGCAGGTTGAAGTGGAACAATTCTTCGTACATGTGTGTGCACCTGTAATCCCTTAGGACTCGAGAACACCAGATGGTCAGGCAGCAGTCGGGGTGTGCCGGTTTGACTACCACATTGTGTACAATCACAGCTTCAGCGTTCCTACCCTCTACTTCTCAGCCTGCCATGAAGGTTTGTTGTCCTCCTGAAAAGACTCCCACATTTTTGAACTGCTGTACCCTTTGACTGCAGGCAGTATAACCCGGATATCGATTATTATTTCAGATTAAGGATCTTGTCTTGTCCAGTTCAGTAAGATTCTTTTTTGTTTCACAATGCACACAGGGTTTAGGGTAAGTTAAGATGTAGTCAGTTAAGATGTCAGATTTAGGCTAGTTTGGGCACGAACTAAGGTTTGACCACTGGTCAACAATGTACATGTTCAGTACAACCAAATTCAAATGGCCCTAATTGGACTGTTTTTGCAATCATTACTTTACATTTTGCCGATGGCTACAGCTCTTATAGTATACATGGGTCAGTGACATCTCTTTACCGGTATTTTCATGTGAATGGTACCCTCCCTCCACACTGACTAATCACATAACCTGTTGATAATAAATGGTATGATCATGCCCTTGGGTCTGGTTCCAAATGGTTGACTACATGGGGTCCAAACCATCCATCATTTGGGCAGTGTTGGTCAAACTATAGTTAGCGCTTGAACTTGCTAATTTCAAATCAGCAATCGTAATTTTAACATTGAGCTCTCGTTTCGTTTGCACTGAAGTATTATCAGAGTGATTTTTCTTCTGACATAAAACAAAACTTACTTGTAATGAACTCAAAACAAAGTTGGGGGAATGTAAGGGGAAATGATTGAAACCCGTCAGCACCAACCAGTGAGGCTTGCTATGGACGACTGAGCTGGTTATGATTTGGGGATGCTTCATTAAAAGCTCATGTTTTAGGTTACTCATCAGCAATGTAAGCATGATAAGCTTACCGCTGGCTCTCCCTTCCTCAGTTTCATAAAACAACCCTTGAAGGGCATCTTTAAAGTAGAGCACTCAGTATTTATTGAAATAATGACAGTCAACATTGCTAAATGGATTTTCGGGTTGACACCTGTCAAGTTAGCCTGCTCGGGTAAACATTCAGTCAATTACAATCAATCACTCACATTTTTAATTGGAGGACAAATATGTGCACAGATCACCTGAGTTCAGGGCAAACTGCTGACCAGATTCTTGTCACAAGTCGGTACACCAGAGTTGGCTGCTCATGCTCAGTTTCAAAAGAAGTCAAGGACGTAATGAATTCTGGAAAGATCAATGTTGAATTCTGGATCTTACTGTTGGGTGCTGTTTGGTGCTTTGAATATTCTGGATTCAGTACATGAATGTGGTGTATTAAGCAAACATTCATGGGTATTCTTTGTCTTCCTGGAGATTTCCACATTTGTTATGGTGAAATTTTTATCCGTGATTTCAAGACCAACAGAGAAAAATTGTCAAGTGAAAAAAAAAACTGGCGTCGTGATTGCACAGCTGTTAAGCACTGTAATCCAGTCAGCCACTACTTTCACATAAACAGAAGAGAGAAAAACAATTGATTACATCATGGTTAAAATCAATAGCACTTAACATGTGCGTGAAATATTAGTTGATTATGAAGCACAGGGACCGGTGCCTTTTGCTGCAGACTGAGGTGGAAACGGGTCAATGTATGCGTTTGCAACCTGTTGACTTGGCCCTCCAGGAGATGCTGCTTGTGTCCATCAGTGGGACTCACTCCCTCTGACACCGCTAAGTACTCATCCAAGCAAAGCATTTCCCAGTAGCTTGCAGTCTGTAGGGAGTAGATCGTGTTCTGGCCTTTATGTTTTTCTGCTCGTTATAAAATCAATTTTTTCAAAATAAGAATATTTTTCATTTTGGGCTTGATATTTTTTTAATACTCATAAATACATGCATGTACACCATCATTCGTTGCTCTTGCACATCTGATCCTGAAAAAGAATTCAAATTCCAACCAAATTTAGAGGCAATTATCATTTTTGATAAAATTTCTTCATCTGTTATTATAAAAATGCCGACAAAAACTCTCTACTTAACAGTTTTTGGCCCACGTTTTCATGTCTACATTGTGATTAGCATAATGTAAAAACTTACACACCTGTCTTCACCTTCCAAAGGAGGACAAAAAAAAATCTTGCTGAAGGTAGCATCAGTAACGCAGTCCCAGCCCTTCACAAAAGGAGCTGCAGCCAAAAAAAAATCTTTTGTCGATTGCCAGCATCTCCAGGGAATTAATCTAAACTCTGCCAGCGCTGCGAAGAGCTTCTGATCAAAATGCTGGTGGAGTGCAAAACACTTTGCAAAATAAAAAGGGCAAGCCCATTGCACATCTGGCTGCTGGCATTTGGATTGCTGCGTGGCCACCACCAGATTTCAAGTTCTGGAAATGGCACCCCAAAAAATGAAACGAGAGGTGCCATGAATAGTATATTGGACAAGCTTTAGTTTCTCTCATTAACCCTAACTCCCAACGCTTTGTGCAAAATCATATTAAAATTTGAGGATTCAGGAATGTTAGGGTTAACTTCCATGGCATTTTGGAAACCTGCTACCACAACCAGGGATAAATGTAGCTATAGGATTATCAAGTCCTTGTGTTGAGTGGTTTTTTCTTTTCTTTCATCTACTGGTATCCTTTACTTATAATGCAGGGTAATTCTTGCTAATCCAATCAGTCATGTATGGCTTGGCTTTCTTTTTTCTCTTACTTTGCTGGCCTATACTGCGCTTGTACGTGTGATTATAATAGTGCAATGCAAAACAGAAGATAAGTGTTTATGTTATCTATAAATATTGAAATTCCTTTCCAAGTTTCATTTTTTTGCAGTTAGGTTTCTCGTAAAAATTGGTGTAATTAATCTTTTTAGATATCCGTTGATTTGTCAGTTTTTTCTGGTGAAACTGTTCATTTTTCAATTCAGGCAGAACATCAGATGGCATTTAATGAAAAAAAAAGTTTTACTATTTGCTCAATGCAAACCAGCATATATCCTAATCACTTCAGATTAGATGACTGAGTGCCATTACGTGAGTTAACAGGTTCACTGTGTATCCCAACCACCAAAAATTATAGCCAATATATCATGTAAAATTTTGTATGGATTTCAATTTCAAAGGTAGTCAACTGATTCATACAGGATTAATTCACAGAGGAAATATAGATAGTCTAGTCCCTTTGGTGTTTAATTTTTAAGGGGCTGTGCACTTACATAATTTATACTGACTACATATTGCTGCCTGCATTTCGGGCACTGTGTACATTTTTCCACACATATGAGCACGGCTGGAGAACCCAGCCGGGGCAAATATGCAAATTAGCTGCTATATTTAGACCTGGCTGCTGTTGAACCGCCCAGGGTCCAAAGCCCTAGCTTGGAGTCCTACTTAACATAAGGGTGATGCTATGTCTGTCGAGAAAACAAAGCAACAGTAATAATTGTATGCTTTCAGCCTGGTCAATCCCACCCCCCTCAAAAAAAAAATTTCAGCTGAGTTGGGTGAAATTATAGCATTTCTGTTAGTGATAAGAAGGATTACTTATAAGTAGTGATTAGGCTTTACGCAGATTAAATTAACTTCACTTTTTCCATTTCGATTTTACATGCAGTTTCTTTCCATTTCTGGAAATCTAGAGAAATGCTTGTGCATGCCTCATTACAAACCAGCTGCCGTACATTCATTTGCATATATGAAGCATGGCATGACATCAGTTTCAAATCACATTCATGTGGAAAATAGTCTATAAGTGCTACTGTAATAAAGATCAAGGACATTTTGGAAAGACTTAAAAATACCGCGAATCGGTCATTGACATGAAATCTAATTATAGGCTTGCTGGTAAATCAAATTACCGTGCCATCAGCCACTAGCTTTAAACTACGGTATTTCATACTTGAATTTGGATGAATCTAATATTCCTTCAATACGTATTGTGTGCCACCTCACTGTGTGCTTTGTATTCATCTCCATTCTGTTCTCCTCTTCCCTCTTACCTTCTAACGACTGTCAAATATTTCAGTTCTTTTTTTTTTTTTTTTTTCGCTCTCTTATTTTCTTGTTTTCTCACGTCACCCGCCCCTCTCTTTCTGCCACAGATGGTAAGATTTTGAGTCTTGATGAAGTTTGGCGGTCAGTTCCTTCTCACTATCAGAAGAGGCTACAGAGTGAACGTTGGACCTTCATCACTCAGCAAGTATGAAACACTTTCCTTTATACAATACCTGCATAAATCCCTGTCATGTGGTTGGTGAATCGTGGATTATGTGTCATTAAATTATTTGTTCTATTCAACCGCACCTGTTGAATAGAACTTCTTCATTTCACTTGACTGGCTCCACCCTAATTTCATATATCTCATTCCCAGTAAGAACGAGGAAAATAATATTAGAACCAAAACTAGTCTAGCATTAAGCGGGACCTGTTTGTTTTCCCAGCAGGAGAAGATTCATGCAGGTATTGTTTAAAACAAATACTGAAATGTTTCACATTCTTGCAGTGGTAAGAATAACTTCATGAGGTGATAGACGAAATGTTCCATTCCATCTAGCTTCACCTTATAGAATCAAACATTTCATCTGTCATCTCATGAAATAATTCTTACCACTGCACTCATACACATTCCTTATATTATCTCTTACTTTTATGCGACACAACTAATGTCACAAAACTAACTCCAGCACCACTTGAGGTGGCCAAAAGATTTTATATAAATAGCGTTGAGGAATGGGTAGGCCCATAACACATTTTGTTGAAATAAATATATTTTGTTGTCCCGTGTGCAATTTTTTTCACTCACAGATTAAAATCAATGATCTTAAAGCTACACTTGCCCCAAGCATTACTTACCTGTCAAAATTGCTCCCAGTGATTGGAGTAGATTTTTGAGTCTTTGCAAGTGAAATGCATGAATGCATCATGTACTCAATGCACCATGAAAACGTAACTATGGAAAGGCGCTTTAAAAGGTACTAAACAGGTACCAAGATCCGTTCATATTGTCTTTTTGTTCTAAATGTCACTGGTATGGTAACCAGTATCATTCCATTATTGCAGTATTGCTTCAGTAAGCCAGTCAGAAGCAAGATGTCGTGGGTTCGAGTCCCACCCAAGTAAGCTTGTGAATTTTGCCGCAAGCTCTCGGATAAAGCACTGAGTATACAGTGAAAATTATATGTATGGGCAAAACCTGTTCCTGAAAAATGTGTCGGGAAAGTTTGAGCTCTTGAATGAGGGCTTTCATGGCATGAATCAGTGTTTCAATTGGAATTAAATATTTGCCTGTCCACCGAAGACTTCAAAACCTGCCTGCCCAGTGTCAGTCAGAACTTTCAAACTGACTCCCCCAGTGTTGTCTAAGCCCATGTGTCCATTGTACCCAGTATTTTACAAAGAAAGATAAAAAATTTCTTCACTGCTGTTAAAAATTTATGTAAAGGATGGGGGGCTGGTTGTAAAATTTGCTCAAGCCAAAGTTGCCTGCCAAAAATGGTTCATGCCTGTCCTGTGGACAGGTAGACAGGTGTAGATGTGGCTAAATGAGGTAGTGCTGTGAATTGCCCCCTCCCACCCTACACACTCATGTCCTTGCCTGGCCTGGACTGTCGCATTTTCTCTGTAAATGCCTCTTTTCAGCCACTTTACAGCTTCTTGGTTTTTGTTGGTGCTCTGAGAATACAGTCCAACCCAAGCAGGATTGGATTAGGAAGTGCTCCCCCACAGAGGAAGTTTGCCAGCTGCCGTTCTGCAAATAGAAAAAGTCCAGAAAGTTACTTTTGCAAAGTACTTCCGCAGTTACTACAGAACGCTCTTTGCTTGCTGTAATCTCATTTTCAAAGTATTTAGTTTGTAAGGTAACTGTGTCATTCGCATGCACACACAACTAATTACAAGGACCATGTGGCTAAATCAGCATTTTTTATTTTAGATGCACTTCCCGTTTCCATGGTTTCACAGTCCATTTTAAGAAAAACTAGGAGAGCTGTAAATCACTCTCCTCAAATCTCCCAGGACAGCAAATTGCTCTCCTTAACATAAACCAATTAAAAGAAGTGGAATGTACCCTGGTGGTCTGTATTGTTTGTCCTGTCTCTGATGGTTTATAATTTTCTCTGGGCAATTTTAAAATTAATTTAGTTTTAGTTCAGTTAGAAACAGGTTTACAACACATCCATCATCTCAGTGCTTGTTTTCTTTTGAGTCAGAACTTTTATACTTGTGAATAAAAAATACACCAGTTTAGTATTTAGGCCTGACTAACGTTACATGTGTAAGTTTCAGCCTACAATTCAACACAGTTGTACGTCATGTACATATCCCTTTGATTTGAATAAAAGTGGAAGTGTACCTTTTTTATCCTTTGAGCATTTCTTTAAAAAAAAACCATGAAGGGGATTTGAAAGTTTAACTGCACTTCAACTTTGTTCAATTGATGCAGACTGTAACAAATCTACCTCAATCAAAATGGGAAAACATCAAACCAACACGCGTGCATGCACGTGCAAACGTGACAGTGTTTACGTTTGATTATGGTCCGACACTGGGGGTTTCCTACGCGAATTCAGTGGGCACACACATGCTGTATGTATGCACGGTGCAACGTTTTCATGACGACCAAAGCTCATGACACTTTTCTTTCTGCTTAAGCGCCCTTTAAAGAATATCGATACTGATTGGCTCTCTTGTCACTGAAAACTTTTTACTGACTAATAAAAACACTTAACAGATTGTACCACGTACAGCGAAACTGCGCACGACATACACGCACATGCAAGCATGTGTACATGCACAGTGTGCATGCTATGCTTGCATGCTGGGCTGGCTTGACGGTTCTGAAAGCAGGCCGCACTTGCTTGCGACATGATGATCATAATATATCCTATGTGTATTCATACAATAATTATAGGCCTACACAATTGCGCTCCTTAAAAATGGAGGACTGGTTTCAGAGTTTCACTGAGTGAGTGAATACAATTAAGTTGCTGGAATGTTGCACTTACAAATCTGATAACCCCAAACTACCGTTGCAACTACTATATACTAGTTGGAGATTTCACCAAACCGTGTCGAAATATTGCGAGATTAATAGACTTGATAATTTTGGGGTAACTTTTCACCAGGAACATCCCATCCTTGGCCGTCCATTTTACAGTCTTCATCCTTGCCACACAGCTGATCTGATGAAGGCCGTCTTAAACGCAGCCTCCCAGACAGCAACATCGCATAGGTCAGTAACTTCTATTCATGGTTTGGCGTGACAATTCTCTGTTATAAATACAAAGGCAAAATCAGTGGATTGTCAAGCCATTTGGAACATGTCTTGTTCATGGGTCCTGATTTGCTTTTCTGGTTTGACCATTCACACCAATATTTTGAGGTAAAACTGTTCAGTTTATCACACAAGTGGTTTCGTTACTTCTCGTCACTCTCTTATCATTGTTGTAATTAACTGTTGTTCATCCATTTGCAGGAATTATTTGGTGACGTGGTTGAGTTCAGTGGGGCCTGTGGTTGGATTGTCGCTACCTTTGAGGTATGCCAAGCTGTGTGAAAAGACATAACGTCAAGAATATGCCAAGAAGTTCATCTTTTTCCTTTATACGCATTTTTTTCTGTAAGTAGACAGGGACAGTGTCTTTACATCATCAAAATTACTACTGACTCGCACATGCATTATGAATCGGCAGTAATTTTAATTAGCCTTGCCGTATTTTTAGACTATCAGCCACCAATTTTTTCAAAATGTTGCTTCTAAAGTGATATATATGCTTGATGAGAGAAGGAAAGATCAGTCATCCAATTTCACCATTTTGTATCGTAGTATACCCTATCAAGGCCAACACCAGTCAAGGCCGTTCTGTTACCAGCACGTTTCAAATGAGTTTGAGAAGGTTGCACAAAAGTAGGCCAAGATCCTTTTAATGATTTTAGGAAAACGAGTCATCCATTCGGGTTTCCTCTGGTTGATATTTTAGATGGATTCCTTGAGAAAAATGAAGTGGCGTTACTCTGAAATCCTTTTCAGATGTGGGATATGTTGAAACATAGAATGTTGTGGGGACCCAAACAAACATTTGTTCCCTCAACATCAGTCCAAAACTTTGCCTACAGGAAAACTTGTCCCCTGAAAGTGTCTCGTTCAGATTTTTCCTCATCTGCTACATCTGAAAATTTTTCATCTCCACAGTTAGGAGTAAACTTTATCTCAACTTACATTAATTTGCCTTTGGAAGCAAAGACCCTCCAGTCTCAGTTAATGTAAACATTAAAAAAAAAATTAAATTGCACTAATTATTTCTAAACAGGTTTTTATTTAAATTTTAATTATATGTATAAAACAGTAGAGTTGTTTATTTTTCACTTCTTCTGATCAGGTAAATAATTTAACCATTATTTTCTTACTTCACCTGTTTTTAATAAATGAAAGCAGACATAACTCATTGACAGAATTGCTTGTGCTGTATTAGTCTTTTTATTTACAGTATTTAAACTCAATATTGTACCAAAGGACTGAAACCTTGTAAGTCCAAGCATGACAACCTTTCTCTCCACTCCTCACTTTCACCCTGCAGAATTCCAACCACAATCAAACTTTCTGTGGAATGAATTGCCGAGCTAGAACAAACCAAAGGCAATTCTCAGTTTAACCCGAGTCTGTCACGTTATTGTAATAGAGGTTTCAAACTTGCTGTGGATGGACTTCAGCGAGTGGCAAATGCAGACGGGTTTTGACCAATTGGGAATTGGTGAAAAATATTTAGGGGTGGAATTCGAGATTTTTTATTGTGGCTTTATGATTTTTTAAAAAATCTTGTTTCATTCTAAAAATAAATACCATTGACTTCACACTGCAGTGGGGCCCTAAAAACATCTGGTAATTATTTGGGAATATTTAAATTTCCTCCAATCTCGCCCCTGGTATGTGGCATTCTGGGAAAATGGATGTCATGAGGTGTGGTCTTTGTTCATAGTTCAAAAGTCACCCCTTGAGGCCATTAATGGAAACGAAAAACAACAGTGGCATTTTCTACCTTTCTGTAATTTTCATTCTGGGAAAGAACTACATTCAACTTAGCTTAAGTACACCCATCACTACCCCTTTCCCCGATTTGGTCATCGTGAGGCAGGCATACTTGTACTTTGAACGTTGCCCGACCAAATTGCAATAGCCAGAATGACGAGCAATTATTCAATGGAATGGGAAAGGAAAGGGCATAAGTTTTTAAAGGTCTTGATCAATGACCATTGTATTATGTGTGTACAAGTCATCCATGTTCGTGTCAGGATTTTTTTAATCAAATAAGTTCCTGGCAACAGCATTACGCTGAAGAGAAACTGAAATTCCTAGTCAGCTGAAAACCTTTTCTGGAGAAGAGAAGACACTTCACCCCAATGTCTCGAAACAGTGATGAAGAGAAACTCAGATTCCTAGTCGGCTGAAAATTGCAACGGAGCGTCTGTGCTTATTTAGAGGGATGTTTTTGTCCAAGTAAGTGGCAATCTAAAAAGTTGCTCTATAAGTGTAACTTGCCTATGTACCATGTAGTTCAATTTGTCACCCACCATTACAAGAACCTGGCTCAAGTAAGTAATTTTGGTGTTTGTCACTATTAATTTCACACTTCAACATGATCCAAAGTTGTAAAATTCCAATTGTTCATCTATAGATATCTTTTTGGTATAATTTATCCACATAAAACCTTAAACTTCTTCAGACTAGTTTTGGAATGGCGGTTCACAAGAACTTACCTCAAGATTTGTTCCACTGCAGTTGGAGAAGTAAAGGTCAACAATGCTGTGGTTACAGAATTTCCGTGGATTCAACTGAGTTCAAAGTTTGGCCCAGAGTTCCCTTAAAACTATCTGGAAGAGTGGTCCCCATTTTACTCTCCAAGTTGGCCCTACTTCCTACCTCCGTGGTCTGTCAGTTCACGGAGTATCTCATAAAGTTTCTACTTGTTAAGTTGAAGGTCTTTGCGGGCATTCTGTCGTATGGATAGAACCCTAAATAACTAGTAGCCTGACCCCTTGACCTTAAAGTTAGATACCGTGTGCGAACCATAACATGAACAGCAAACAGCGTGGCAGACGATAGGTAACATAGGCCTATGTGGTGTGTGTTAATTTAAATAAAACAACAAAACGGCTCACCTCGTACATTTGTGCATATTTATCCTCAAATCTTACTAATCAAACACCTACAGGACATACCTTCACATCACAATGTTCGATTGGTTCTCCATGACGAGTTCTGATTGGTCGAAAGTGAGTAGAAAAATCTCGCAGACGATGCAGTGCATGCACGTGTCACACTCGTGTGCGGCTTGTTGAAGGCGCGCGTCAAAATCACACGCAACCTTTAATGGCGCCCTCGCTCGACTCAACTTTGTCAGCCATCAAGATGGCTGCGCCCTTCTCATACTTGTTCAAGTAAGAATGGACTAACGTTATGCCTATTACTTTTCTTAGTGCCTGTCAACGGGTTTTTATCAGAAATTGAACACGTCCTTCACTGTTGATATACCATAACTTGGTGCAGCCCCTAACATGGCTCGAGGTCGGAGGTTGTTCCACTTATTGCACTCGAGTTGACGTTTGAGCATTTGCTTAAAAAATACTATAGGTCTAGGGGGCCTACTTGGAATTTTTAGACCAGTTTGACATGTCAGATAAGGTTCGTTCACAGGGTGCCAAGTGATGCTCAAAATGTGGAACTCTCTCCGTGGTTTGTCAAATGGTGGCCTAGCCAGTCTTGCCTCCAAGGACTAGGTCATGTTATTACAAAGTTGGCCCACTGCCTGACTGCCATCAGGTCATTGGGTTTTGACTTGACTGTTACTCAGTCTCAGCGTTTCTATATCTGTAAATTTGAGTTCACCTATTCATCACCCTTGTGCTTAATGTATGCCATCAATCAGTGTCATATTGGTACATGTAGATCACTGCACTATTGGTTGATCTTGTGGTGTAATCTGTAAATCCTTTCACTGTCATTCAGCCAATCATGTTTTCTAATTCACAGTTATGGCGGAAGATTTTGTCGATCATAAGGGGACGTAGTCTAAGTCTGAGATTTCCTACAGGATCAACTTACAGCACTGAGAGATTAATTTACCATTATCTGACAACACATGTGCTGACTTTTACTTAGTCGTGTTAGTATAAGGCATCATTCAAATTTTGTGTCCACATCTGGAGCTTGGTCTGGGTTTTTGCCAGTTTATCAGGACGAAAAAAATCATATTTTGTTTTGACCATGCATCGGGATGCTTTGACTTATGAGTGAGTCTCTCAATGGTGGATTCCTCATACTAGAATTAGGAGCCCTAGAGTTCATCAGTATTATTTAAATGCTTTTTGTTTCTTGAGTGCTTTTTAGAGAAAAAATAGTGGCTGTTTGTACTCAAAGCGAATGTCCAAAAAAGTTGAATTTTCAAGTGAACGTGTGCTTTGTCATTGCAGGTTTCGTGTTGTCATAAAAGCAGTGGCTATTTACCCTTTTTTTTCCCGACAGATTAACCAGACTCACAGGTCAGGCAAGTTCCTCATTCTGCCAGGCCTGTCAGAATGCACTGTGGAATGCTGGCACAGCAGTGCGGTGGAATTCAAACAGGGCCGTCATTGCCAAGACAAACCGCAAGGTTTACACCAGGCAATATCCAGTTCTTGTGGTCAACCCAGATGGGTCCACATTTCGCATCAAATATAAGGAGCCTAGAAAAATTCTCAAGGTGAAGTTTATTCAACTCCTGCATTGGACTTCAGTGAAAGTGCACCCCCATATCATTAGATGCATTTGGAAGATACCTGGTTTTTTTTTTAGATGGAAGTATCCACTGATTAAAGACGGTGCAGACATTTCTCTTTAGATTGTGGACCTGACATGTTAATACATGCTAAACCTTTCTCAAAGATTTACCTCTCAGAAAAGGTATAAGATTGATGCATTCTTGAGAAAGAATATGCAAGGATTAGAGCATTACGCCACCCTGCTGTATTAAACATTTTGGATTTGTACATCATACATTTGAGCCATTCCATTAAATACTGTAGTTTTCAGAAGCTTTTTTTTTATGTGACGTTTTTCTCAGTGAAGAGTTGAACCAGTTTACTTACTGTTTTTTTTTTTATTTAATTTCTGCAGTTACCTCTAGATATCAACAGTTTGACCTTTGACGAACGCAAAAAGCGCCTCAGCCGCTACCAGGTCAGGAAGAAGAAAGTCTTGAAGGACGACATAGGAGATGATGCTGACGTTACATCCAAGTACAGGCATTTGTGGAAGAAGACATAGATTCCAAGCTTATAAATTGTTTTTAAAATTAGGTATTTTTCAAGCAAAGTGCATTTACATCTTGCGACTTCACACGCACACAGAGATTCATGCTGTTATTGCTGCAGACCTATAAAAACGCCAAACTAGGAAAACTTGTCAAACATTAAAACAGGATTAAGACAGGCACACTTGATGTATTCTTGTTGATATCAAGACTATTTTGTCTTTAACTGTCGTCATGTCGTTTTCCCCCAACTACTTCTTATGGCCAGTCACAATAGAGTAATATTTGTTTTGCACTGATCATGCAGGAAAATGCTTTAGCCCATAGAGGGTAACAGGACTCATAATCCAATTACTCTACCCAAGATTAAGACGACATGTATTTGGAACACTAAAATAATACCACTTTGTCTATTATGTATGAAAATGTTTGTTGGTTAACTTATGTAGGAATTTAATGTTAAATTCATAAAAATTTGAAAGAATGATGCACAGTTCCCGCAAACAATTTCTGGTTAATATCAATCTTTCCTACATATTGTAATTTCATTCCAAATTGTAGCAGCAATATTTTAATAACACTACGGGTTAAAAACTCACTGGTACAAAATAAATACAAGACCATAAACTGGTTATCAGCCCAATGTGGTGTTACAGTCTAAAATACATTGTACTTGACAGCAGCTGTTTTCCTGAGACTTGTCCTAAGTATGCCATTGGTAACTACTTGGCTACTTTATGACCATGTAACCATTATGTTGACAGAAACTGCCCACAGCCCCCCCCCCCGAAAAAGGCAGAAAGCATTGTATCAGGTTTTGCACAGAGGGACAGTCACAGAACAGTTCCTTACAACAGTTATCACAATGCATACTGTTACTGGTGCGGGCCACTACAAATGACCAGTGATAGCATTAACTATGGCCACGCGATTAGTCTAGAGACTGTCCGGTTCGTAAGTGTGCGTTTAAATTACATTGGATTACTGTAATTTTTGGCTTTCTTGCATCTCATTTGATGTTCTTATTTGATGATGGCACTATTAGACTGATTACTGTGCTTACAGCTTTGAAGTCAGCTAGTAAAAAACAGTTGAAGCCTGAGACGGAGCCGAAGTTGAGTATTGGAAAACGGCCCTGGAGTTTATGAACAAGTGCATGTGTGGCGCCAACATAGCAATGTCACCTCAGACTAGTCTATAAGATTTCAAAACATCACTACAGTCACAAGTGTTAAGCAGTAGATGGCCATAGTGAACATTTCAAGGCTTTTTACACTTCCGCTTTTGTTTACGTTTACACTTCAGCACAAATGATAATCTTCCCCCTGGAAGATTACAGATAAAAGATTTCTTCACCAAACTTGCCAAGTCTTCCAAAAGAAGCATCTTGATAAAAACTTTTTATTGAAATTCTAGATTTGATGCTGAACTGAACATGTACAACTGCAAAACAATTACAATGGGCAGTACATGCTCAAGCTTCTGAACTTCATGTCCGGAACAACTCAGAAACTGATCACTGAAGTCACGGCGTAAGAGCCCGGCATCAACTGCTCAGCACCTTCATAAAAAATGTCCATCAAACTGCTAAATTTTGTCAAAGTAAATAGCGCATTAATTACTGTTTATCAACACTAACTAGATTTCTTGAAATAATTTGAAGTAAAACACTCAAAGCACATTGTTGAATCAAACTTTAGATTTTCTACTGTTACCTGGTAACTAAACACGGGAAAAGTTATTCCCTCTTATTCTTTTGCACATTTCAATTACAAAATAATCTCAAACAATCTGAACTTTTCACAGAAAATCAACAATACAATAAACAGATTCTCATTCACTGACTAGGCTCATCTGGACAATTTTACTATTAACTTCAAAACACAGACATTAACAACTGGTTATTTACAACGATGGCACAGTACTTGTGCTCGTAAAATAAGCCTTTTTATTCTGAAAAAAACTTAGAAAAAATCTTTCTCTGGACTCTTCAAGCAGCGTGGGAAGAGGTATCAACGAACATTGTCTACTGTATAAGTGGAGTGACTTCCTTAGCATGTAAATTGTGTAGAAACAACTACACAACACTACCTACAAAAATCTCTTTCTGTTGAGTACAAAAAGATTTTACTGCCCTTGGTTTACTTAACCACAGCTTCAACCGGGATGCTTTGTTTCTACATTAAATCATTTTCACCTTAGGTGTCCTTAGACTTGTCAGTTGTCTCACACAGTGCATAAATAATTTTAAATCAAATAAAATGGTGTGGACCACAAAGACGGCCAGGCTTAGGTTGAGTCTTTGATATTTCTATACAGACGGCGATATATCTTGCTCATGGTATCGTCAAACAGCTGCCGGTGAGTCTTGCCTGTGTATTCTTGACTCTGAGTGGACCAGTAGTCCCCATTGTCAATGTGCACGGACACACTGTAAGGAACAACAAAAAGAAACCATTCCAACCACCTGCAAGCCTCTTGTCTACACTGCTCTGAGAACACAGCAGTCATGCCTTGGCAGCCTGGAAAAGTGAAATTTTAAAGTCAAACGGATTTCTGTTTTTCTGTGTAATTACTAGTAATGGTAATAAGTGACAGAAACCAGTTCAACTGTTAACAGAATTCATCATTGGAGGCGATATGTGAAGACAACTTCCCATAGTAACAAGGCTGGATACAGATGACCTGGACCAATGATACAAAAGCTACTACAGTGACGAAGTTTTGCAGTTTTTATTAAGTGCCTGGGTTCCTGGTATCGGAGACCTTGGGTTTGCAAACATAGGCGGGGTGCACGCAATCGGACAAAAGAGCTAGGCCTTGCAACAAAAGACCATACTTGGAACAACAGACCGAGCTGCTGGGAATTGCCAACATTTTTCAGCACAGAGAGCTGGCATTAGTGGAGGTAATCCGTCAGTTTGAAACAGTATACCACCGTTTGCGGCATTCAGTGCCCACGGTTATCAGCAGGAACAAAAGTGCTCCAGCACTCCAGCGATGAGCTGTACAGTACCGCTGCATGCTAATCGTGCTGAATTTGAAGACATTCAGCAATGCAATGGGCAAATTTTGGTAACAAGGGAAATTATGCAACACCAGCTGCACAATTGTGGGCGCTCTTTCCTGGGCGGCAGACCTGGCTGCAATACCTGGGTGTCAATGGAAGATGCCTGTCAGATTAGAGCAGCCACCAGACAGTCATTCGTGTGGGTTTAAACGTCCAGTAAATCAAGTTATAAATTTTTGAAGAATTTTGAAAACAGAAATTCTTGAATATTGCCGAGAAACTCTTCCCACATTTGCCACTTCCACCTGGCAGGAAGTGGTTAACACACTCAAAAACTGAATAAATGAGGGGGTTGCCTTTTGGGGGATCACCAGAGTTCATCATGTAAAATGACCACTGTGATATAAATATCTTTTCAAGATGGTAGGGTCTCACCAAGCAGATACTGGTTACCAGCCGAAAATGTATAAGGGATGTATATTGCCCATCACTGGCCCTCTTCTTTGTTTAATGAGTCAATTTTCACTGCAATAATTTCTGCCAAGCCCTGCTTGCTCTTGTACAACCATAAGTGAAACTGCATGCAAGCACTGCATCAGTGAGTTGTGCTTGTCGAGCTTGCAAGTGACAACTCAAAAAGGTTAAGGGAAAAACAAACCTCTGCTTTCGTTCAGAGGCCCAAGTACCTCCGATCGGTTTTCTCCAGAAGGGACCTGCGTAGGGACTCCCTGTTCTCGCTGCGCAGTGAGGCCGAGAGGTCAGCGAGGGCTTCCTCTGAGGTCACTGAAGAAATGTCAGAGTCGGATGAATGCTGGAGTAACAAGAGCAAAGAAGCGTGCTCAGATTCAGAATGAAGTTCTCAGAAATGATGTTTAGTGTGACGAACAATGCATTGCTGTCAGTTGCCGACTCAAACAATAAGGAACTTACAAAATTATGTTCCAGTGCCCTTCGAACCCGTTTGTGGATGAGCTTTGATGTGTCCAGATCATTGTCTCCGTATCTGTCTCTCAACAAGGAGCGAGCGAGGATGGGGCTGGGGGATCGAGATCGTCTGTGAGGTGACAGCGTGATGGGGCTCAGCGATCGCGTTCTTTGAAAAAAAAACCGAATGACTCCTTCAACAGATGACAAAAGATGCAGAATTGGCAACACGAATTCAGCACTAAACAGGTAACAAGTGACTGGGATACAATGGTTACTAATGGTTATCCAAATGGACATGTGAGCATTTGAAATAGGTGACTGATGAATAACCATCATAAACATTTACTCAGGAGGTTAGCATATATGAGTCATGAGTGATAACTGAGTGGTAATGATCAAACCTTCGTGCCGAGAGATCTTGAAGCAGTGAGCAACAAGTGAGTAGGGTTCCAACAGGATCCAACCTTTGCTCTGGCAATCCAGGGGATTTTGAATACGAGAAACAATTGAGTATTAAATGAGTACACAGACAAACAATCCTGGCGAGGTGACTTGGGAAATTTGAATATGAATAACCAGTGGTGAGTAACAAGTGACAAGGTTCAAACCTTGCTCTGGGTGATCTGGACGGAGACCTGGATCTTGACAGCCGGGGAGAGTATGGTAATCGACCGTACGACACATCCAAGCCAGGCAACGGATCCAACGACCTCCCAGTTAGACTGAGGTCATTGATTCCGTCAAGTATATCTGGAAAAACAAGAAAACATTACGCAATCATCCAACTTGAGACCAATTACCCTTTTTTGGGGGTTATGATGCAGGGCATATAAAATGATTTATTAAAGCTTTGACATCTTTTGGCAATGACACCAAGTTACTCCTTCAGCATTTCAAGACCTAAGACACCCAGAAAGCACAGGTCATCGAGAGCACATTGAGCTGCCCTTGTTAACTAAGTAAAGCAAATGATAACAGCTCTACATATTAACCCTAACGGTCCCAAATTCTGTGATTACAATATGATTTTACATACACCTAAGGGGGTAGGGTTAAGCACTAGCTCATTCTAACTCCATTAGGTAGGCAAGTAGCTCCGTCAGTTGCCTGGTGATGGGCAGAGCATACGGCCCAAACACTGAGACCAAACACTGAGACCACTGGTTCCTTTAAAAACCTCAACAACTCACAAGAGAGTTATTTGCTACTGAAAACTACTGAAGATTGTTTCCTTCACTACGCAAAACTTCAACTCTCACCCACTCTTAAGTCAAATCACTTCAGGTTGGTCTTTGGTCAAGCAGTAAGCCATTTTCAAATCAGGTTGGCTTTCTGGTCTGTGGCTAAGAATATACATAGTGGCCTTTTCAGTGGCAAGAACCGAAACCACTTTTCAAGCCCCTGAATAACACGCAGCCACAGTTCACACTTTGAAAGTCTCAAAGTTAATCTGTTCGACAGACACACTTATCACAGCCCGCAGATCCTTTCCGCTACCAAAAACCTCAGTTGTGGGCTTTGCCTAAGTAATAACTGGACTTCACCTCGAGTGTCACTGCTGATCTCTGACTGAACGACCCGGTCAAGCCACAAGTCAGCCTCATCTACCAGTGCGTCTGAATCCTTCACAATTCAAATGACAACAAAAGGTATTGATTAAAGCTTATGCCTCTAAGTTTTTGGGGTGTGGAACCCTGGTAGGTAAGTTTCAAAATGAATTTTATTCAGAATAAGCCTTTCAATCAGAACTTGAAAAACAAATCAGTGAAAAAGTTTGTCAAATCTGGAATCAGAGGCTGGCTGCTTAAATTTTTATTTCTTAATCTTCATCAATCTTTGCATGTAGCGCATAATGACAACTACATTTTGGCTAAAAGAGTGCACAGTGAAGCAGGTGCTTTTTCACAAAAAGTAATCCTCTGCCACTATTCACTGGAAGGGGAAACTGCACTTAAGGCATTTTCCTCAATTTTGAAGATCAAGGACTTACAAACTTTACACTATCTAGATGTCTGAATAACAGATCAGATATGCTACATTTAAGATTGTGGTAACATTATATTAAAAATGATGCAGACGAATATAGTTGTTTTGAGAAAAATAGCTTTTCTTTACTATAACAGTGGCAGAAAATAATGACTAGAGAATCAGTCCACACGATTGCGAGTAGGGGTAGAGGGGTATCACTTGTTGACTGGATCAACCACTAGCTGATTAGATGATAGAGGATATCAACACCGATGTAAGTGGATTGTGAAAACCAACCTTGGAAGGTCTGAGCTTGATACCATGGTTAGGGTGGAAGTTCTTCCTGTGACCCCAGTACCTCCTGCCATTATAACGCTTGAAGATTCGGCAGATTCGGCAATCATTCTCGGAAACGTAGCCTACAATGAGAACAAAACAACATTTGGTTAGTTTCTTTTATGCAGTTTGGCTCGTTGATATCAGCAACACAGCCCAAAAGGCCTGCTGAACGTCCATTAGAACTAGGACAGAACTGTGTCCCAGCATTGACTCTCTTGCAAGTCCCACACAAGTCGTTTGATCTCAAGTCACAAACCATTAAAAACCAACAGTGACAAAGTCAGTCCTTTCTTTAGATATGAAGCCCTTTGCTACTTGCCATCTGACTTCTTGTGCAGCATCTGCGGCTGTTTTGCATCACAAACAACACTGGTGAATTTTCCGGGGACAGCAACTGTTTATAGATTCTGTACCAACAACGAAGAAACAGATGTTGCGTGGAAATAACCAGTGAAATTGCCTGCGCCATAAGCAGGCTCTACGGGTCTTTCCCCTAATGCTTGACTCTAGAAATTGATTTCTTGTTTCAAGTAACCTACTTGATGATCTCCCAGAAGCGGCTTTCCTTTTGGGGCTTTGTCTTCTTGCAGATGACGAGGACAAGGAGGACAGTCCACCGGCAGGCGGCGGTGCTGAAATGGGCCTGGAGGGGGAAGTGCCGAACGACACAGACTTGTTCGGTGAGCTAGCACGGTTGTGGGAGTCTCCCTGCCAAAAAGGGGTGAGTAGTGATTAAATAGTGCACATCCACATACTATGCCTATGTCCAAAGGAAGTGGGTGAGGCTGTGAGTAGCACGCTAGTCTATGAGAAACAGAGTCACTATCAAGAGGCTACAGTAGGTACAAATGTTAAATCAAGCCACAGCCACAACATTGGCCTGAAAATGGTCGGCAGGGCACTGGACTAATGACCTGTGACACAATGTCGACTTCATTTGCCTATGTGCACGTATCGGAATGGGCACTGCAGTTTCCATGGCCATGCAAATTTGGACACAGCCATAGAATTGACAGAGAAAAACCCAAAGCTACTTATGGTTTCAGATGCTCTGAAGCCGTTAACTGTCTCTCGCATTCATGCCATGACATCAGGCCGGATATCCACTCAATAAAAGAAGCATCTTGCTGTACATGCTAGAGGGTACATTGCTTTAAGGCTCATATGCATACTGCATACAAAAGCACAGCTGGTAACCCACTAAACTGTTCCTTGGCTTTGCTATGTGGCTTGTAATACAAGCAGCTGAGACCAGCGGCAGAAAACGAACTCCCAAAATCATCCTGCCCATATTTCCCAAGTAAGCAGTGATGTCACTAGCCAAGGGGCCCTAGGAACAACACCCCGGTACTTCAAGACAAAAACAGACAGTCCAGAGGGAGGATGAGCGTACTCTCTTGATGATGAATGGTGGCCTGTCTTCCAGCGATGTGTTGCCAAGTCTGTCCCTCTTCCTGCTTCGTGACGGAGACTTGCTCCTCCAAGATATGGTGGTGTCCTCGTAGCTCTTAGTCCTATAGGTAGAAAACAGGCAGACTTGATCATTCAGTTGAAAGAATCTCTTTATGAAACAAGGGGGGAGGGCAAGAGGGCAACAATTTTTTTTTCAGGAGGACTGTGTTTCCAAATTAAAACAGTTTGATCAGTTGCTTGATTAGTAGTCAGAGATAAGAAGAGATGTTCGGAGACTAAGCTTCTCCCTCTTTCAGAGGGGAGGGGCTGCAAGAATTGGAAGGATGTAGTCTTTGTAATATTACAGTGAAACTGGTTTCAATAACTGTCATTCAGTGTTATTCTACAATTGCCATTCAGTGACAGCTCAGATATTAATATTGGTATGAAAGTTGAACGAGACGAATCTGACCCGGGAAAAATTACAATTTCATTATTAATTTTCAAAACAGTGAAATCCACCCTGAGCTGAAGTGCACCCCATATCGGCAAAAAAAGACAGGTGGTTACAAGCAGGTCCTTGCACATGTTCCGCATGTACGCAAAGACCATACATGCAGGAGTAAATGAGTTATGCCTACTCAGCATGCTCCGCATGCAACACGCATACACTTGCGCACTTCATGGCGCGCCTATGCGGTGAGTACCAAAAAACATGCCCTCTTTTGTTCCCCTTGGAGCAGATAACTGGGCAAGCCATACATCAATCCATTTTTTCAAGCTTGGCATGACTTTTGGAAATTTCCAGCTTAACAACTCATGGGAAAACAAAGATAATTGTTATTGCACATTCTCAAACATATCAAAGAAATCTGGCCAAAGTAAAAATTAAAGATATGATGTTGTGGACAAAAAGTAAACCCCCCCCCTAAAAATTCTTGACCTTGTTCTCCTTCGAGGTTGCCGGTCTGTGGTCACGGTCAGGAAGTCCTCATCTGATGCAGATTGCCGGGCCGACAGTTCATTGTATCGGGACAGACGGGCCATGCTGCAGTCCTTCACCGTTGTGCTGCAGGAAAACTCCAGCTTTGGAGCGATGCCCTGCACAGAACAGAACAGAACAAAGCCTGTACCGTTAATGGGATTACATTCACAGGGAGGCTATTTTCAATGCCATCTGTTAAAGGGGTCAGAACCAGACTACTTGAGTCCTAATCCTCGGTCTCATTTTCTTTTCTGTAAAATGTTGCTTGAAACATTTTAGATATAATTAATCCCAAATTTTAAATTATTCATCAGCATGAATTGGCACTAATTTGTAATGAACTTCTGTTTTACTGTTTTCGTTTTTACTCTCCGGTTTCCAAAATGAAAAGTTAAGCTTGCTTTCAATTTAAAATGGTCAACTTGTGAACATGGCCAATTTCACCACTTGCTAAGTGTTGAAGGGCTAAAAGATATGGCTACTACTCAAACATTAAAGGCATCTGCAGCTTTGGCTCTGAACTCATTATTAATTTGTGACCTGATCCCACAAACTGAGTCTTAAAACAATTTTTCAAGCAATTTTTAGTTTCAGTTTGCCGTAGGAAGAGCTCACGACTGAGCCCTTCACAGTGATGCATCACTCACTTTGGAATCCTGACAACGTGGATTTTATGTGGATGAAAAATGTCAGGGGGATCCTATTTAACTCCATCATGTAAGGTTCTTGTAAAGGCCTTCGACTCAAAAATGACTCGGATGACTTGGGGCTAAATGTATTTTGTCATGTTGGGCTACATTTTAGGTGCCTGCTCTTGGAGACTATGGATCAACAAGTGTCTACTGTAGCCATTAGCAGGAATCTTCCATAGGTGCTTATGTTACTGTCAGTCAGAGACAAGTGATTTGGACGTGGCTTTGAAATGAACATGAGGGACAATCTGAAGTACGCATGAGAACTGACTGATGCATGGGTCGTCAACTCACACTAAACCACAAAGTCCGGTTCATCAGCACTTCACGCTCTGAGTCCGCAAAGGCGGACACCAGCGTGCTCTGAGGGTACAGGAAGTCCTTGGCCGGCTCGTAAAAGTAAGCCAGCACCGTCCCCTCTTCGCTGTAGTCTTCGTTGAGTTGGATGAGCTCAATCAGGATGCGTTCATCTTCCAGAAGGTGGGCCAAGTGGGCAGGGTCTATGCAGTTGATGAAAGTCTGAAAAACGGAAAGAATTATTACACATTGAACAACGACAATTTTCAAGTATCATAAACACCAACTTACACGAGTTCACCCTTGGCCTACTTTTTAAATGTCCCACGCAGGTACCAAACTGCCTTTTCTTACAAAGAGCCCCCTAAAATTAGGTTTAAGGCACTGAAAGAGCTCCATATGTGACTACTCCAATTCTCCAGTTTCATAAACACAAAACGTTTTTAATTATGGCCTGAAATAACTTTTCCTCAACCAGTTTCAGTTTTTTCTAAGCTGAATGGAGTCATCATCAACCACAAGGTGTGGTAGAATCAGGTCCATGGTGACCAGATAGGGAACACTTAGCATTAACGAACCCCAACAAATCCAGGGCTTTAGTGGTTTCATAACTAATCCTCTTCATTTAGATGTATGCTTAAAGAGCAAGATCACATGCTGTTGAACTAGACATTACATTTACTATGTTAACACAAGAATACTGTTTATTATTCTCGATTTGTCGTACTTTTTCAAACCTGATCACTTGGTGGAAGAGGAGAGGAAAGATTGGAGGCAAGCACAGGGTTCTCTTCTGATACCCCAAAAAGTGGATGCTAATGTAGACGTCTTCCCGCTCTCGAAGAACTGTACCTGGACAGGTGACCTGAAAAAATTCCAAGTATAGACACAAGTTACACACTCCAAACATAAGCATTCAGCGGAGTTTAATATAGGGCCTATATATAATTTATCGTTTTTGGATTTTTGGGGAATATTTGATTGAGAAAGTACAGTTTCAACAGAAGACAGAGGGTTATTATTGTTGTTATTGCTGGGCTGCTTCCAAAATGTCGTAGCAAAAGGAACCATCAAACGTCAGGAATCAGTAAGGCCTACACTCCGGAGTAGGCCTAGAACCTTACCATTCAGGAAGTAGGTTGGCTAGGCCTACTTCTTGGATTTCGGGAAAAAGTTACCCAAAACCAGCTACAACTGCCACTGTCCGTTTCAGTTACAAATTGACCCGCACAGTTTTTAATATTACTACGTTGATTTTAACTAGCTGAGGACTTTGACTGACGCAGCATCTCCATATCGCAACTAGTCAACACTTTTCCCAAATAATGTAGGCCTACAAGTATTTTAACGGTTTCCATCCTCCCATGCGAAAGAGGACATGCTTTCAGTTGTGTTTTGGTATTATTACATTTATAAATAATATTGTCACTTACAGCTTGGACAGTCAAGTCCACTGCAACTTTCAAAGCCTTCTGCGGCATTTTCGATACAAATTACGACCAAATTCGAGGATCCAACATCACATTTATACCAGAAATCCTGCCAAAAATCGTCACCCTGGAACCGGAGGAAAACAACGCGGACTGGGGTCACAGGTCAGGTCAAAGGAGTAAACATTGAATATTTATTACATGAATATTCAACATTATCACCGTTCAACAGCAACGTGTTTGACGCGACTGGACGCTAGTCTCTCGGGTCTCTGCAAATCGCCCCAAAATCCACTTTTTGCTGTGGAAATCAAGGTAATAAAGTTTGTGAAATTATGTAATTTGTGCATTCTTTCTGTTTTCGTTAACTTCAAAATGCATCTTTACTGCGAGCGTAATACATGTATCGATGCTTCTTGTAAGTCCATGACGACACTTGACAGGCACTATTTGTGAATGCGATCGGAGTAGCACATGGCACCTACCTAAGATAAGACCGACTGCACCCGGTGTGTGCTACTACCGAGTCGTGTTGGGAGCTGATGGTAGTGATTCCCGTTGTCATAATACAACTTCAGTTACATCTCACCTTACAAGTACACGTGTACGACCAGGGTGTACCGTTGTTAAGTTTTATGCAGAAGATAAAAATCCAATCCGCCAACCAATTTAAACGTTTAAAATCTATCAAGACCTGCAGACCTCTAAGTTCTAAGATAAAGCTCAACCACATCATGATCATGGTTAACATGATAAGGGCCTAGCTACATGTACCTGCGCCTACTAAACTCACTGTAGTGTAGATGTTATGATGACATTATACAATGTGCAGTTCATCTGGTGGATTAGCACATGGTCTCCACTATCAACTATCAGGTGATTAAAACAATTGTATCCTGCCGTGTGCGGTTATTTGGTCACTGTTCATGTGGCAGTGAACTACTTGTATTAGGTCCAAGTTCTATCATCCAGGTTAACTTATAGCTTGTAGTAGACATTTCTTACATATGCTGCAACAAGAGTGGGCCTAATCTGACAGAAATTATTGTGAGTTTTTATATTGTATTTTTTTTATGTGTGTGTACCGTGTTTTTTTAATGACTGACATTAGAAATAGCCCTTTGCTCCATGGAAAGAATTGAGTTAATCCAAGAAAATCCAATGCGCAGTGATTTGAGATTGAATTCTGCTTTCAGATTTTAAAGGTAACATTTTTCCTATCACAGTTTATTTGCAGTTCTAAGGTTTTCTACAAATGTGCAGGCTTTGGAAAGCAAATCCTACAGTAGGAGACCTGTACAAAAGGACAAAAATGTGGTTGCCTTTTTTTTACAATTTTGCCTCGCTGCTTTTCCTTGTTAGTTATATTTCTTTTTAAAAAATTGAATCTTGCTGTCGTAAACATTTTTAAAAATAATTATAAGTATTTTCAGCCACATATGGTGCTATTTCAGTCCAGTGAGTCAGCAGTAATGGATGTATTTTTCATCCTCCCGTCAGATGGGCCATCATTTACATGTGTGGAAGTGTGTATTTCTCATTAATGTTCCTCCATTGGAGGCAACTACCAAAGACAGCGATTTATCGGCCATGGCTGATTCTGCAGACAGCCCTGGCAAGTCTTCCACGGGATGACTAAGAGTGCAAGGTGCCATTACCATCACTGTGCCAGAGCTGTGCCACATACCCATCTGCCAGTCCGTGAATTATTGGGGGGGAGGGGAATGGTTTGTTGTGACAGAACTCACTGCTCAGTAGAGAAACTGAATTTACAATTTATGTCCAACAGAGGGTCGTATTTCTTATCTGGAAGGAGCTGTCTTGGGAACTTCACAGACTTTTTATCTTCCTGGTGTGATTTTTCATGCTAACTGCTGATCTCATTCTGGCCTCTTGTGATCGCTGTGCAGTTTTGCTCTTAGTTTGTGTGGAAATATCCAATCAGCAGTACAGAGGGGCTCAGGAGTCCCCCAAGCAGCCTGCTTTGTGTAAATTAGATAATTTGAGAATGGTTAGGTAGGTAAATATTTACTGAGCTGATACAGGTAACATCTATGTTCAATGGTTACATTTTTTTTCAATAAGCAGCAGTTCTTACCCCTTTTGATGTTATTGTGCACATAAAATCTCTCAAGAATATGTTATTACGCTCCATGGTCCATGTGTTTTTAAACCTCACATGGACCATGGAAGTGTAATAACTTATTCTTGTGAGATTTTATGTGCACACTAATCATCAGAAAAGCTCATACTCTTGTGCTGTGTTGGTGATTAAATAGTAAAAAACATACTTGTGGGAATTGCCCCTTTAATCTCATTTTCCTGAGCTATCCGATTTACACCCCCTTCTAGGTGTTGATGTGCGACCCTCATAAATTTCGGGGAACATCCACAATGTGCAGCGCCATGGGGAGATCAGATAATACATGTATTTTAACTGTGTGTTTTATGGCATTCTGAAATTCCTCTTTGAACCCATAGGTCCACTTCATTGCAGGTGTCTTTATTTTTAAACTGAAGGCCTTGGGGGTTGTGTCAGTATTATTCAACTGATGATGTGTACAGGCTAACCCAGTGACATATTTGCAAGTGCCTGGTAGACTGGTGGTTTTATTCTACTCTGGTTTTCATGCCTGCCCTGTAGAAAGTTGTAGGGAATGGATGGAAATTAGAGCCCTGGACTAGATCTTTTTCGTAAAGTGGTCTGTGTGAGACCCTTGTATTTATAAGCACAGATTCCAACTGCATTTCCAAAAACAGGTTGATTGAGGAAGTCAGACAGTTTAGCAAGAGAACAATTTAGAATTTATCATTATAATCCTCTTGATTACTGATTTGTCCATAAGCTAATAAAGGCAGTTTATACATAATTCATTGTGGGACCAGGATACTTCCGTTCAATGTTGAGAACAGTGGCGCAAACAAAGGAGACACCACTATGTGCACTGAACTTTGGACTGTAATTGGTTTGGTGTATTTGTGCAATATCAAAGTGCTGGTTCCTCATTTTTTTGTGATATTGATAAAGGGAAGTAATAAACACTGAATTGTTTCTGTTGTTAATAAGATCTGAACCAATAAAATGATGGCTAGAAGAATCTGACATTAGACCTGCATTGGTCAAATCTAAAAAAAAAAAAAACAAAAGGTACATGGTACACGTATGTCTTCACAATCTAGTCTGTTTAACAGAAAAAGAGACTCGTCTTCAGAAAAGAAAATCAAGTCTTTCAAGCCTAAAGTTTGGTCTTTTTTGTCGTTGGAATGCCCACTTGGATAAGTGGATTGTAGGATTTGTCAGTCTTTTTTGTTTTCACTGATCAAAGATTATCCAGTTTATTTTATGACCTGTTAAGTCCAGATCTTGTTATATTTCAAATTCAGCAAATTCAATGACAGACCTACCATAGCATTTGAAGTCAGTGAGAGGTCAAGCAACACAGAGAAACCCTTTAAACAACATTTATGTCCAGCCATTTTTACATGTAGTATCTTCTTGTGTGATTTTTTTTTCACAAATTTGCCAGTTTCATTTTCACTGAACATTTTTTTCTGTTCTCGCTTAATTCAGGATATCAGTGTACTGCTGGCAGTACATGCAAGTTACAGTTGACATGTACAAATTATGCATGTATTAAAATGACAAACGTGTTTGATACCGGTATGGTAATAATGACAGAGAAAAATGCAGAGAACAAGGCTGTTCAGATAAGTTTATAAGCTGGTGCTTCTTGGTGGGACAGCTCTGATAAAAGTTCACAATAGATCAAACAAAAACAAAGAAACAAACAGCAAACTCAAGAAAATTCTGCGCAAGCTCACACGGCTTCATGGAACAAAACAAGTCAGAGATAACAATAAAAATAAAGAAATTAGAGAAAAGGTAAAAAAAAAACATTTGTAAATAAATAAGGTTAATCTTTCTCATTGGCATCTCAGAACACTCTTTCTTAACTGACCCCCCCCTCGTAGTTTCTATGTGAGGTGTACATGTATGTGTATGTGGGTAGTTTTTTTTTCTGTTTAGATAATGAGAATGATTGATTGGAAATTGTGTTTGTTATGCTTATATAACAAAAAGAGGATAATGCATAGCTGTTTCAATAATGAGGTAATTGTGGAAATATCCAGTGTGGCCTAAGCTCTGGAAGTAACAACTCCAGGTGTGTTTGTCCACAATTTTCTCAGCCAGTTTCATTTCTTTGGCATCATTCATTAAATCATCCACAGTCGTCTGCAGCAAAGAACACTTGAGGCATTCGTCATGGTTGTGAACTTTAAAGTGGGCCCAATATAAATCAATTGGCCTGTGGCAGTTTTGCTCAAATATTTTCATACTTCAGTCATTACGTTTTTGTCACTGGGGCTGGTGAATACTTACCCTGGATGAACTGTTACCCTAAATTGGTCATAACAGTCAAACTTTGTTCGCAGTGTGATTTATTTTCAGTTAAGCATCTTTGCACCTATAAGCATCACCTGTGTCAATTCAAATTGCAAAGCACTTTACAACATCTTGTACAATGTTGAAATACCTCATTTTTCCTAGATTCTCAGTTGCACAGCTGAAATATTCAGTGCGTCAAGAAGGCTTTATGCAGATTGATTTTTCAGACTAAAAATTCTACAAATGTGCAGGTTAACAATTTTAATCAAGATGAATAGCTCTTGATTGTGCAATAAACTTTGTGAAACAAAACAAAACGTAACAAAAACGAATCTCATTTTCTTTTCACCCTTTGCCATGCTTGTTTGTAATCCAGAATATTATAATTGCGGGTCTTCATTCATGCCCGTTGGGATCTAAGGCCGATTTCTATTACACAATATCATTCGTCATCGGCAATTATGCCGATATTTTTCCTCCAGCCCCTGGTAGCATCCTGCACGCTTCACTCGTCAGACCTGCCAGGATGGGCTGGGGAAGGCCAAACAAGGATGACTAAGAGTTACTGGGCTCTTGAAGCGGCTCAGGGAGATTTTCATTTGGTGATTGGGTGGAACCGGACGGCCCTGCAGCATTAAGGGCTAGCTCATGTTGTCGGTTGGTCACACAAATTTGCTTCCTCTTCTTTTTTTGTCCAGAAGGTCATTTGTGAAAGCCTTTGAATGCAGCAGTCGGCAGGTGTCGTGTCTTGGGTGTTGGTAAGAATGAATATTCAG